CTGACGCCTCATCATCAAGAACAGCCCGCGGTCTTCTGTCATGGTTGTAAATGAGGTAAAGCCCCCCCATTCTTCCTCCGGGCCCCCGGCAAGTCTTTGAGGGGCCTAGAATGAGCTCCATGTTTCCGATCCCCAAAGTGGCTGAACGATGTCTAGAGGTTGTGGAGGCCAATCCGGGACATTCAATGCTGCAGGCACTGAAGGGTTAACTTGGCCCAGTCCATGACCAAGACCCAGTCCAAGGCCCCTTCCATAACCAAGGCCATGATCCGCTCCAAGACCCAATCCCAGTCCAAGGCCAAGACCCAGTCTCAGACCAAGACTCAAACCCAGTCTAAATCCCGGTCCAAGGCCAAGACCCACTACAAGACCCAATCCCAGTCCAAGACCTAATCCCAGTCCAAGGCCAAGACCTAATCCCAGTCCAAGGCCAAGACCTAATCCCAGTCCAAGGCCAAGACCTAATCCCAGTCCAAGGCCAAGACCTAATCCCAGTCCAAGGCCAAGACCTAATCCCAGTCCAAGGCCAAGACCTAATCCCAGTCCAAGGCCAAGACCTAATCCCAGTCCAAGGCCAAGACCTAATCCCAGTCCAAGGCCAAGACCTAATCCCAGTCCAAGGCCAAGACCTAATCCCAGTCCAAGGCCAAGACCTAATCCCAGTCCAAGGCCAAGACCTAATCCCAGTCCAAGGCCAAGACCTAATCCCAGTCCAAGGCCAAGACCTAATCCCAGTCCAAGGCCAAGACCTAATCCCAGTCCAAGGCCAAGACCTAATCCCAGTCCAAGGCCAAGACCTAATCCCAGTCCAAGGCCAAGACCTAATCCCAGTCCAAGGCCAAGACCTAATCCCAGTCCAAGGCCAAGACCTAATCCCAGTCCAAGGCCAAGACCTAATCCCAGTCCAAGGCCAAGACCTAATCCCAGTCCAAGGCCAAGACCTAATCCCAGTCCAAGGCCAAGACCTAATCCCAGTCCAAGGCCAAGACCTAATCCCAGTCCAAGGCCAAGACCTAATCCCAGTCCAAGGCCAAGACCTAATCCCAGTCCAAGGCCAAGACCTAATCCCAGTCCAAGGCCAAGACCTAATCCCAGTCCAAGGCCAAGACCCAGTCTCAGACCAAGACTCAAACCCAGTCTAAATCCCGGTCCAAGGCCAAGACCCACTACAAGACCCAATCCCAGTTATCTAATCCCAGTACAAGGCCAAGACCTAATCCCAGTCCAAGGCCAAGACCCAATCCCAGTCCAAGACCGAGGCTAAGGCCAAGACCCAATCCCAGTCCAAGACCGAGGCTAAGTCCAAGACCGAGGCTAAGTCCAAGACCCAATCCAAGGCCAAGACCCAGTCTCAGACCAAGACTCAAACCCAGTCTCAAACCAAGACTCAAACACAGTCTAAGTCCCGGTCCAAGGCCAAGACCCACTACAAGACCCAGTCCAAGGCCAAGACCCAATCCCAGTCCAAGACCGAGGCTAAGTCCAAGACCCAATCCCAGTCCAAGACCGAGGCTAAGTCCAAGACCCAATCCAAGACCGAGGCTAAGTCCCAGGCCAAGACCCAGTCCCAGACCAAGACTCAAACCCAGTCTAAGTCCCGGTCCAAGACCCAATCCCGGTCTAAGACCAAGACCTAATCCCAGTCCAAGGCCAAGACCCAGTCCAAGGCCAAGACCCAGTCCAAGGCCAAGACCCAGTCCAAGGCCCAATCCCTGTCCAAGACCCAGTTCAATACCAAGCCCAATCCAAGACCAGAGCCAAGTCCAAGTTCAAGACCAAGTCGGCCCATGTGCGGCTCCCAGGCTGATCGATGGGAATTTCCCTCCATTGTTCTCTGATTTGCTGCATTCATCTCGTCATTAATTCCGACTAAATCCTCGGAGTCCCTGGAACTCGCCCCCTCCCCCAATACAGCCGAGCTCCCCCGCCATGCTTCACAGTAGGGATCTTGAGCTTCTCTCGCTCCCCTCACATCACTCATGGCTGTGACCAGAACATTCAGATTCGTTTGGGGGCGGTGTTATAAGCAGTTGGCATCCTCTGCGGACCGGGACGACGCAGTTGACGGCGCCGCACACGCCGTCACGTGCAGCCGATCGCTCGCGTGCAGCGTTGTCCTGCGTTTCCTGTGCGCGGTGAATGAAAGATCGG